AACAACAAAAAGGTTAGCCATCACTTTTCTAATGGTTGCATAGAACACCCTACATTTTGTCATCTGTGCTACCAGAATCTCAAGGGACATTCTTAAATATTTTGCTGAAGTCAAAGTAGATTACATCTATCCCATTCCTGAGCTCAGCTAAACTTGCTCACTATAAAAAAGGGAAATCAGATTTGTTTGATTTATTATTAAACTCATACCAGGGTGTCCATACTCACTCCTAAATACTCACAGAGTGTTTGATCATTTGTTCCAGCATTTTGCCATCCCATCTACAGTAGGATAATTACAGTCAACAACTACTTAGTTCTTCTTTTTTCTCATTTTTTGTCTTCACCAATCCTTGGCATTATACTTGATTTATCACAGAAAATAATTCTAAGATGATAGCCACAAGCTCCTCTGACTTTTGGATGGAGTTGATCTGGTAACCTGGTTCTTTAAAGCCACAATCTCTTTATTTTCTTTTGGTTCCCTCAGAGAAAGACACCATTTCCCAATGTTATAAGATCTGATTTGCTTTTGGTGAGAGTAGGAGTTGAAGAGCTCTGTTTATTGTATTTGTTATATTAGTTTGCAATATCGTATTGCAAACTAGGGCATATAAAACTTTTGCTAGACCTATTCTCGAATACAGCACATCTGTCTGGAACCTGCACTGCATATCAGACATTAATACAAATGAGAGAGTCCAGAGATATTTCACAAGAAGAGACCTCCATTCCACTGCTCACAACAGAATACCTTATGCCACCAGGTTTGAAATGTTGGGCTTAGACAACTTAGAACTATGCCGCCTTCGGTCTGACCTGAGATAGTACACAAAATTATCTGCTATAATGTTCTACTGTCAATGAATACTTCAGCTTCAACCACAACAATACACGAGCTCACAATGGATACAAACGTAATTTAAACTGCTCCAAACTCGATTGCAGAAAATACGACTTCAGCAACAGAGTGATCAATGCCTGGAATGCACTACCTGACTCTGTGGTTTCTTCCACAAACCCCCAAAACTTTAACCTTAGGCTGCCTACTATTGACCTCACCACCCCATTCCTAGGAGGTCTGTAAGGGGCGTGCATAAGCGCACCCAAAGTGCCTACTGTCCCTGTCCCACTGTCCCCACTTATTTGTATCCATTTCCTATAATCATGTTTATACTTTTATTTGTTATCTTATACATGCTTGACAAAACAAATAAATTAAAATTAAATTAAGTTTTCTCCCTATCACCGGATACCATCATCTCATCGTAACAGTGCATCAAACTCTTCTTTTTCGTCTTCCCTTTTCCATTGAAATAACCATTTTGTTTCAGCTCTGTTTGCGGTCCTAAGGTGCTTTTTTTGCTCTTTAGCCTTTCCAACTTTCTTTCCGCAGAATACTGCAGAAGAGGTACCCTGTTCAGCTCTTCAGATCATTTAGTTTGCATATTAAATGTCTTCCAGCCTAGCCAGGCTTATGCTTGCTGAAGGCAATCCTGAAGCAGTTCAGCCTGAAAGCATTTGAGCCAGTGTTGCAACCAAAAACTCCTCTCAGTTTTCTCCTGCAGCAACATGGGTTGAGTGTTATAGAACAGTATTAATTGCTTCATTGAGGCAAGCTGGTCAGCAATTAACTTCAGCAGTTATAATGTCTCCGTAGGGCCGATCATCTTATCAAAGCCCTTCAACGCTACTTCTCTGCATCAGATTTAGTAAATGCACAGTTAATAGTAAAGAAGGAAAAGTTATTTTATTATCTTGCTCTCAGGAATAAATGAACTAAAGAGAGTGATGGAAAGAACAACAATTATTTGTTGTTGTGTGATGGAAAATAAGAAATATTTATATTNCTGGTCCTGGAGTGGAGCTAACAGGGCCGGAAGGAGGGATCGCTGTGACGTAGCGGACCCTCCTTCCCCAGTAATGGCTAGCCCTAAAGCTCCCATCATACCTGCCTCTCCCAGTCATGACCATAATGCTCCAGCCCACTCCCGCATCCGCAGACCCCCCTCTACCTTCCAAGGCCCCCGTACCTCTCGGCAGGCCATTCAAACCAGACATTCCAGGTTGAGGGGTGGAACCGGGCCCCCATCCACTTCTGCGGTTGCACTCAGTGGAGAGGGCTCCGGGCCGCACCCTCAATCCCCTCATGTGCACCAGACAATCATTCACCTCATACACACCCCACAATAAGTTAAAAATACAACAATATAATAAAAATAGGGATTAAACTAATTTAGAAAGTGGGATTCATTCACACACGGACATACACATGTATACCACACGCGAAAGAGAAAGGTTGTGCAGGTGTTAGAAAAGATGATGCTATTGTGCGAGTGAGTCCGTACGTAAGTTCGTACGTTCGTGGGTCAGAGACCCAGCAGTCAAAACAGGCAAAACAGAGTCAACAAGGAACCAGGAAGGTAGAGTATCTTCTTTCCCCAATAGCGTGGTAAAGGGGGGAGTAAGGGACCAGGTGGTTGAGATCAGGCTCCTGAGGTAATAGAGGTGGTGGTAATCGTAGCCCGGGAACAAAATTATAAAGCTGGGAGTCCAGGGGTCCAAGTTTATGAGCAGGAGCGGGAGGAACCAGATGGCACAGATGATAAAGAGAGAGGCCCTCCCTGGCCACAAAACGAGGCAAAAAGGGGAGGCCACTCTGCAGAGAAAGGTCCGGCCAGGTGGGGGGGGGGGGGCGCCCGAAGCAGCAGCAACAAAACAAACAAAGACAGCTGTCCACCTCTGTCCGGCGCCACATAAGTCATAAACCCCCTTTCTTAATAATAAGAGCCCAGCCGGTCTGACTCTGCAGGTTCCACGAGCTCTCCCAGGCGCAATAGGTTGAAATAAAGCTCTCCCAGATGTAATGCGCTGAAATAAAGGCCATTGCTGATCGAGAAATGCTGCAGGGGGGGGGAAGGTTCGTGAGGGCTGCAGCGGCGGCCACACGCCACCTGTTCGAACGCCTTCGGCGCCATCCAGGCCAACCACCCCCTCGCTAGGCCTGTGTTCACAGCACAGTCCAGAGGTCTTCTCACATTCCCAGCAAGCCGCAAGTTGACAACAGAACCGTTCTTAAGAAGTTTCTTTTCAGTATTTTTATATAATCTTTTCATCCAAGCCACTAAAAGTAGGACAGATAAGTTCCTTAGTCCTACTAGCTGAGAAATTCATGAGGGAAAAAAGCAAGCAGAAGTGATTTTCAGCTGCTTGGTAGCTTGCCAAATAAGTATAGTTAAGAAACCAACACCAAAAATCTTTGTTGAAGGAAAATTAGACTTTAGGAGCACTGTTTTGTATGTGCTGCCATATGCTGTTTTGCCTTATCTTGGCACTAAGTAAATGCAAAGTCTATGCAATGTTATTGTATGTACTGTTTGCATACTCATATTGATGTTGAGTTTTAGGTGATGTGTTCTATTAAATAGTGTGCTGTTTTGATTGGATGGAATGTTATTGGATTTCTGTAAAATGTATCATTACGCACTATTCACTAATAAAATAGAAAACTCACAAGCCAATAGAAGACAATAGCTATTCTTGTGGTCTATTGATTGTGCTCTTTGCTGGACTTCTGTTGCCGTTTAAGTAGATGAGCTGGGAGAAAAGTATGCTTAAGTGACAATTTAAACTATATTTTCATTTTAAAAGTAATCATTTCTTTTCTGTAGGACAAATAGTAGGTATCAGACCATATGGACAAACATCCCACCTACAGTTGTGGTAAAGAACCTTTTCCCTGTTATTCCCTGTGGTAGAAAATTTAAAATGTTCTACTCTGTTCAGAAAAATAACTTTTGTAAAATTGTAATTTTGTTTTGAGAGAACACAGCTTCCTTGGAACAGTCTGGAATGGCTTGTTTAACTGAAGTTTGAAATAAAACACCTTTTCTATTTTGTGCTCATGTTTACAACATATCTAGGTTTCCAACTTGGCTAAGTAAACACATAGTGTTGTTTTCTATTCAATTCACAGACTTTTACAGTTACATTAACCACTTTTCATTCTGTGATAAACACTTTGCTGATTAAATGGATAGAATTTCAGCATTGAAGAATCAAAGGCATGGGAAATCCAAACATATACATATTGTGCTGCAATTTTAGTGGCACATCAGTGTGAAACACATGGTGTTAAGGCTGTTTCTCACCTCCTAGAAGATAGATAACTGCCCTGGCTGCCCCCATAATTAACAAAATCTATTAAGGTTCAGCGAGAAATAGTGACTGAACAATGTGCAGCTTTGATGTGTATTACTTATTTATAACTTATCAACAGTTTAGAGCAGTAGCTTGCCTATCTAGACAAGAGTCTCCTGTGTACTTTTATTGTCTTTGTTTTTTTTCTGGATTCTATAGCCATCAAAAATTAGATAGTTTGATTACCAGTTGTAGGAACCAAATATTACATGATGTAATTGTCTGCCTTTAATTGTCAGGCAAAATGCTTTTGAATTTTCTAAAGTTTTCTAGACATATGCTTCCAATAATGACTTCAAGATGCTGTAAAGCCACAAATGAACTGCTGAGGAGTTGCAGGCTCTCTTTCCATGATTTACAGTGGAACATAATTATGCTTTCATATTTTACATTGTCATATGACTATTGTCCAAGCTTCAGAATATCACATCTTATAGTGATTTCACAAGGTCCTGCATTTAACAAATCTTTTGTTTCTGTACAGGAATTTAAATACAAGCTTTTTCTGACNTTATGATGGTTGCAGTGTCTCGGGGTCATGTGATCACCTTTTGCAACCTTCTAACAAGCAAAGTCAATGGGGAAGCCAGATTCACTTAACAACCATGTTAGTAACTTAATAATTGCAGTGATTCACTTAACAAAAGTGGCAAGAAAAGTTATAAAATGGGCAACATTCACTTAAGAATTTTATCACTTAGCAACATAAATCGTGGGCTCAATATGGTCATAAGTCAAGGACTTACCTGTATCATTATTTCAAGACAGGTAACACTTTTGGATGATCAGAAACATACATACCTACACTCCAGTCCATTTCTTCCACAGCATCCCCATATAAGCCATGCTTGCTCTTTCCTCTAAAAGCTAGTGATGCATAAAGAGCTGTATGGACTTGAGAGTATGATAGGAATAGGAGAAATGGTTTATCAATATTCCTGAAATAGAGAATATAAATCAGAATGCTAGGGAATGCATAATACATTGCCATTTTCATATGAATTCTTTCTTGGTCACATGATTTATTCAGTAATAATTCCTTCAAATATTTTGGAAATATCTTACATGTTTTCAGCCAATCTAACATTCAGGAATTTTACCAGATAACCTGAGGTTGCTAGATTGAAAAAATCTTGGTAACTTACCAAACAGAAAACAGAATGGCAATTCAAGTAAGTTTTGGCTCAGTTCTTAGAATGCCTGTTATTTCTATTTATTTCAAATCAATAAAATAGAGAAGTTGTGTTCAAAATCTATCAACCAACATTTTAAAGTGAAATTTAATGTGAAAATGATACATTAGAACACTGTTATTTTCACAATAAAGGGCATTCTCTGACCCATACAATATAATAGTATAATATGATGGCATAAACTGAATTAATACACTACTACAGGAATAATAAAAAGTAGAGAAGAAAACTAGGGGATCAACCATATTGTACTTAATTCTCAGTAATAGACATGAAATGATAGACGATGTTGTAGCTATAGGAACCCTGGGTGGGGGGAATGATCATGAAACATTGGAATTCAACATTATGCAAGCACAAGCAAGAGAACAAAGTCAAATTAGAGTCTTGGATTTTAAGAGAGCCAATTTAAATAAACTTAGAGAGAACTTAGGAATTTAAATAAACAGAGAGAACTTGGGAAGAATTCCATGGATGAAAATTCTCAAGGGGAAAACAATCCAAAAAGCTTAAGAAATTTTGAAAAGTGAGATTATAAAAGCACTAGCACAATACTAGTGAAGAAGAAAACTAACAGCTCTCAAAAGAAACCAGCAAGGATGACAAATAACTATCTTATAAATTGAAAGGCAAGAAGGACAAATATAAAAAGTGGAAAGGGGGACACATAACTAAGGCAGAATATGAGCAAATAGCATGAGCCTACAAAGATGAAATCAGGAAAACTAAGGCTCAAAATGAACTAAGATTTGTGACAAAAATAAAAAAAGCTTCTTTCAACATCTAAAAAACAAGAAAAAAGTCAAGGAAAATATTGGTCCATTAATGGAAGAAAATAGCAAGAAGGTGATGAACATCAGAGAGAAAGCAGAACTGCTTAATTCATTTCTTGCATCTGTCTTTACACAAAAGGATAAAAACAGTCCAACCTTCAAAAAGTACTCTGTAAAAAAAAAAGACTAGATATACCAGTTAAAATAGGCAAGAAAATGGTAAGAGTGCACCTGTCCACCCTAGATGAGTTCAAATCACCCGGACTAGATGGATTACACCCCAAGGTTCTGAAGGAACTAGCCACTGAACTATATCTTTCAAAGATCCTGAAGCAGTGGGGAACTACCAGAGGACTGAAAAAGGGGAAAAATGGAACCAGAAAACTACAGATCAGTGGGATACCCTAAGACTCTGTCTTAGGCCCAGTACTCTTCAACATCTTTATCCAATGATTTGGATGAGAGGAGAGATGGGAAACTCATCAAATTTGCAGAGGACACCAAGGTGGCAATAATAGCCAACACTCCAGAACATAGGCTTAAGATACAGAAGGATCTTGAGAGACTTGAACATCCAGCACTATCTAACAAAATAAAATTCAATAGTGAAAAAAGTAAGGTTCTACATTTAGGCAAGAAATGCACAGGTATAGTATAGGTGGTGCCTGGATCAATAGTAGTAACTATGAGAGAGATCTTGGAATCCCAGTGGACAATCACTTAAATATGAGCCAGGAGTGTGCTACAACTGCAAAAAAAAACCGAGTCCTAGGCTGCATTAATAGAGGGATAGAATCAAAATCACATGAAGTGTTAATACCTCTTTATAATACCTTGGTAAGAGCACACTTGGAATACTACATTCAGCTTTGGTCGCCACAATGTAAAAAAGATGTTGAGACTCTAGAAAAGAGAAGAGAAAGCAACAAAGATGATTAGGGGACTGGAGGCTAAACATATACTGGAAGGAACAGTTCTGGGTATGGAATATGGCTAGTCTAGGGAAAAGAAGAACTAGGAGTGACATCACAGCAGTGTTCCAATATCTCAGGGGTAGGAGGAGGGAGTCAAGCTATTCTCCAAAGCACCTGGACAAGAAGCAATGGGTGTAAACTAATGAATGAGAGAAGCAAACTAGAACTAAGGAGAAATGAGGCAAGTTGTTCCACTGATTAATCAGCAGAACAACTTGCCTCATTCACAAATTGTGAATGCTCAAACACTGGAAATTTTTAAAGAATAGATTGGGCAACCATTTGTCTGAAATGGCATTGTGTTTCCTGCTTGAGCAGGAGATTGGACTAGAAGACCTCCAAGGTCTTTTCTAATTCTGTTATTATGTTAATTCTGTGTGTTTTAAAATAGTATTCACAAGTATATTTATGCTTCCTGCACATTCTTTAGGAAAGTTTCTCTCCTTTTAGTTCTCCTGGAAGCTGTGTTTGGCAGTGGAAACATTTACTTCACTCAAGTACAGATAATAATGAATCAAAGATAGATCTCTCTAAAACTGAGCATAAGTAGAAGCTGAACAAAATTACTAAGGCAGGTTGATTAAAAAGAGTGAGATCTCTATCTCAGTTTTATCTATCTATCTATCTATCCATCCATCCATCCATCCATCCATCCATCCATCCATCCATCCATCCATCCATCCAT